AAGTAGAATGTACAAGTAGTTTAATTCATAGTAGATTGATTTTTTGAGACAAGGACACAAATTTTATATAGGTTATAGTAAAACAAAGTCCTCTTGGGAAAATAATGTAACTATACTATGTGATCTTTGTTCTTATGTAGTGGGCTAAAGTTGGAGGTTTTCCACATGCTTTGAAATTTGTAGTGTAATAAAATAAAATTTTCTATTATCTAGTATTGAATCAATGTAACATTATAGAGGTAGAAACTTTGTTAGAGGCAGAGCTTATATTTTTGTCTTTAGTTTCACTTAGGCAGTCGAAACTTTTTTATTTTAAATTTATTGTTGTACTTTCAATTTTATTTTGATTTTGTCATTCCATGCGTAAAAAGCAACGAAATTATTGATTTATATATAACATAAATGATAATTTAGCTTAAAAAACACTAATTCATTGGGGATTTTTTTATATTTTTTTTTCATACAGATTGCAAAAAATACTTTTTCTTCTAGAAAATCAATGCATTCAAGAAAACTTGAATTATAGAAAAATAAGCATTTTTGGAAATTTAGATACAGGGATGGTAATATGAACCTTCTCGTGTCGTGTCGTGCTATGTCCAATTCGAAATTTTCGGGAGCTGAGGTCGTGATTATAAAATTTTCATTTCCTGCCTCATTTATTTATTTTTATATATCATTTTCTTTATTTTTTAAAATACCTTTTAAATTTTAAAATATATAAAAATAAAAATATAAGAGAATCTGGGTTAGGACCATATTCCCTATTTCTGCCATGATCCTCCAATGGGTCTAAGTGACAAAATCAATGCATTAACAGAACTTTTTAGCCCAATTATCATTATCGTCACATAAATTTATCATTTGAGTATTTTTGAAAGATGAAGTATCAAGTGAAATTTGGTGACTTGCAGGGTATTCAATTCAATACTATAATATCCCTTGCTTTCCATTTCCCAAAGCTCTTGATTCATGGACACTTTGAATTTTGCTCCCAAAAAAAAAAAAGAAAAAAAAACGAAAACAAAATGTAAGTATGAGTTTGCTGAGAGTGCAAGTAATATAAAAATAAGTAGAGTTATACAAACATAGAGAGTCAGGATGTTGAACCTTGTTTGAAGTCTTTGGACCGGCACAGTAAAGATGCACAGTAGAGGCTAGGGGTGGTGGGTTGACTTTTGCCTGCATCCAAACATAAACTCAACCCAACATGATCGATTTAATCGAAATTTAACTAAATCTCACCCCGTGTAAATGTTGAAATCCAACACAATCCAATCAAGTATCGATCGGATTGGGTTGTGTTGATCGGTTTACATCTTGTCAATAAAGATTAAAGTCATTCAATTTTCTATTATACTAAATTCGAATAGACAAGATTAAGTAGTAAATAAATAAATAAAATTATCTATTATCATATTCAATCCTTACTAACCAAGCCTACAAAGAACAAGTGTATTTTATTATTATTATTATTATTATTATTATTATTATTATTATTATT